CATTGGGCACTCTTCATCAAACATTTAACCTGTGACGTCAGCGTCGTCACATTTATAAGCGTCACGCTGGTGACTATGTGGGCCAAAGAAGCAATCGACAATATACCTAAATAAACAATAGAGACGTCAACTCTCTATATAATGTGCACTTAATTGTCGAATCAGTACGATCACTCAACTGAAACTGATGTTATGGTGTAAGTAATTTATTATAGCCCTGACTCCAAAGCAGGAGAAAAAACGGGGTGGTTTTTAGTCAGTAGGTGCCTGGCTCTCATTCTCGTTGAACTCAGGATGGGAGAAAACATTGAATTATTTCTTCACTCAAAAAAAACTTTTGTTATTGTTTGAGTTAACAAGCAGTTCATATGCACCTGGTATACATATTTGACGGACCTACTTGGTAGGTTTAGGCTTTAGGTAGGTCGGGTTAAGCGAAATGAGTCACCGCGGCCTCGGCCCAGAGCAGAAGAAGGAACGGGGGAGTTTTTATTAAGTAAGAGTCTGACACTCTCTCTCAAGACGAGAGAGAGTGTCCCCAGGCCGGGAAGTCATTTGATGATTTTCTCCGGAGAAAAAAAAGGTCTTAGGTAGGTATACCGAAAGTTCTTGCGTGTATTAACGTATTAAATCACACAAGTCTCTTCTCAATTCTCAATAAAAATGTTACAACAAAACGCGTGTATTTGCGTTCAATAAAGAGAATAAAACAAAACGTGTTGAAACTAAAAACAAGTGTCCCAAAGGCCCAGACAGTGTACACAAGTTTATCCTGCGGTGTTGTGGTAATCACTTTAATATTGTGACGGGAACGGTTCAATAGTGTTGTGCTAATAGACGGATCAAAACAGTTTACTCTCTGGTCTGTGTGATACAATTTCCCAGCCCATCGGTTACAACTAAGCACGTGCCTCAGTGACATCGTATTTATGTGAAGGACTGTCCATTTAAATAAACGTCTCTGATATTCCAGCTTGGATTTGCATATCCTACTTTATGTGATGGTTCATGGATCAAAATGGAACATATGATTCAAGCCTATCTTCACTTTTAACATTCTCGAAAAATAAATAGTTAATGCTGCATACTTGACAATAAAAGTTAAGAGTTATTTATTGATTTGCCAGTTTTATTTCACTTTGATTTGTTTATAAAAAAAAGTAGATCATATTATCGTTTAACAGTCGTAGTCTTGACGAAACTAAATAAATAAAACTGGACTTAAAATAAAAAGCACTTGTTGACTAGACTGACAAATTACTGGACAATATCATTCGACATTCGATGTTTGTCACAACTTTTAATGGCATACTAGCTACCATTAAAACTTTGAACACAAAAACTTTACACAAAGTTAAACCAATAAATCCGTCCGAAGTGTTATTGGAAAACACGAAACATTTTCACGATTACTCAAACTACATCACTCCATCATACCTTTAAATATTAATTTGGTGTGGTAACTCCTTAATAAGCAGTACATCATTAATTTTAATACCAACGCCATCTATACAAGATGTGTGGAAACAATTGACAAATATTTTAATCGAGTTTCGAATTCACAGACGCGAACAACTTTTATTCGAATGTCGAACGAACACCTTTATAATAAATATTGCGTTCGGAATCATCATAGGTGGCTCCGGCGGACCAATAGAGAGAAATCTAGTTAACTATTAAGCAAACGTAGTAATATGATTATTGAGATACGTTTTTCACTTTTGAAAAGCAATGAATTGATATTGTTATAGTGCCGTGAAGATGACGATGATTGAAACGATAAACGTAGAGGACAAAATGACATATGCTGAACATAAACGGTTATGACATAGCAGTGACCCTTGTCGCACCGTTTTCATTCATTTTTCCTTGAAGCATCCTTTGGTAAGACAGGTAGGAAACCCTGTATGACAAATTGAAAATGGAATAATAATACTGCCCATCGTTATAAAAAACTCTAACAATCTAATATGCAGACTTATTTCTATGAGGTTAAGTGTAGGAGAGCCGTGCTTCGGCACGAATAGGTCGGCTCGACTGGAGTGACCACGGCCTCACAGAAAACCGGCGTGAAACAACCACAGCGTTGTGTTTCGCAGGGTAAGTGAGGTAACCGGTGGCCCAAACCTTTCCCTCCCCAATCCCTAAATCTCCAAATTACCTAATCCCCAAAAAGTCGGCAACGCACTCATAACTCCTCTGTTACGGTTGCTTATGGGCAGCGCTGATTGCTTACCATCAGGTAATCAGTCTGCTCGTTTATCATAAAAAAGGTATTACATAAAAAAGGTCATCTAACTATGGATATCAATAACAAAATACAAAAGTAGTATTAGACGTTTTGACAATACAACATACCAACTTACATAACTGGATTAATTCACTAGACTTCTTCAACATTCTAAAAATCTATGTATCTACTTATATAAAAATAATGACTCTTCGTTAATTAGTCTCATTAAAACTTGAAAACAGGCGAATTGGTGCGGAAATACTAGTGACAGCCCAGAGAAGGAAATTTCTTACTAAAATAGACAGTTTTATTTTCGTAAATAAACTGCCATTTTTGTAACTTATTTTGGGAACCTCTTCAAACAGTCATCAATTATAGGCATCTGTCGCCTCAGGCGGGGCGAGAGAGAGTGTCAGACTCTTACTGACTGAAAACTACCCCATTGCTTCTCCTGATTCAGGCATATATTTCAGGAATATATTTTCTATGTGTCGTGTACTGCACGTCAAAATGCTAAATCATCATGGCCATAATGTGTGATGAACTGAACGGCGCGCCACGCAACGCGCCGCGTCGTCGTAAAAAGGCCTTAACATTTAAGACATTGTAGCGTCCAAAAATTCATTTGTTTTTTTAAATAGCGACTTATTCACTTAAATATTCTAAAAGAGCATGTGCAAAAAATGCGCTCGTTTCTCATGAATGGCTCAAGGAACGTCATAGTTCTTAGTCAGTTAGAGTCTTACAATTTCTCGCTCCACCACCAATCACTCGCTCGATTTTTGCTGTATCCATGATTATACTCATTCAGTCATTCCGTAACTCGTTATTAATGTGTTAACATCTATATATATGTAGGTATATAAAAGAAAGTCATGTTAGTTACACTATTTATAACTCAAGAACGGCTGAACCGATTTGCCTGAAAATTCGTAGGGATCGTAGCTAAGAACTGGGAGAAGAAGATAAGATAGGATAGAGTAGGGTAGGTAAAGTAGGGTAGGGCAGATAGAGTAGGGTAGGTAGAGTACGTCAGGTTGAGTAGAGTAGGTAGTCAGTAGTAGTGACGGGAGCGACGCCGGGGGTAAGAGCTAGTTTACATATAAAGTCAGAAACGTATACCAATTACTTCTTATCACACAAAGTAACAACATTTAACATTCAAAGTTTTACTACGAATGTACGCCAAACATCCCTCTTTGCGCACATTATACGCAAAATGGGGTACAAATAAGGAAGGGTACTCCAGAAGATAACCTCTTAGGTTTTATCCTTTTCACTCTTAAGAGGATAGACAGTGACAAAATATTGTAAATGTTGAACATTTACTACCTAAATAATCTGAGAGGTCAAAGTTTTCCGTGTCGCTGTACGTACCCTGATGATAAAATTTTCTTGCGTGTTATGCAGTCACTGTTTAAGATATTGACAATGATACAATTTCAGAAGTCTAGTATTAGTTTTAGATATATCAATTACTTAAATACCATAAATTAACAGTAATTCTTTTAAAAACACTATTTTATTTCTTATGTTGATATTTATCGATCAACCACTAGATTACAAAGAATTTCTAGTCAGGGTTACGGGCGTAAGCGTAAACCGTATATTTTAGTCAGTAAGAGTCTGACACTCCTTCTTGCAACACTAAAAGGAGAAGAAAGACGAAATTCCTCGAAATGCTCCATATAAATAGATTACACATAAATAGAACAGTTTAAAAGTTAAAGTATTCCTAAGAACGAAGCAATAACAAGCAGAAGTGAGTGCAGGAGGGCGATACGGCTAATATCGACCCTGTTACCTAGCCCCACACCTTCGTAAAGTTCAGCTGACGCATTACTCGCATCTGGACCAACTCCAAACTGTATCCAAGTTTACACTGACACCTTGAATGACAATTTAACTTTCTTGTTTAAACTTAGATTAAGGCCACCACTACGAACCGATATCTTCTTGCTTGCTTCGACGCTACAATACTTACCAGTACATTATATAAATATATGTACATATTTATTATTCCCATCAATTTTGTTTTGGAATATTTGAGAGCAGTTTACGTTGTTTTATTTTTCGATACCATATTTTTTTTAATTAATAACAATTTCTTACAATCCAAGTAATATTTAGTGTCTTCAAAGAACAAAATTATATAACAATATACTATGTAGGCTTGGTCTAGATATAAACTGTTTATTTTTGAACTTTTTATTATACCTACATAGTTCTCGTTATATACTAATTAGTATTTTTTAAGAATATAACCAAAGGGTATTTGTTTCTTTGTAATGTATCTATTTATGATGTTATGGCGAGCTCTAACCCTTATGAACTCGCGGTCAAATTACCCGTCTCATTAGAAAATAAATAAAACCATCACAGATTTTTATTAAAATAACTAATTTTAATTTATAGTAAATCATACATACTGGGACATAACTACAACTAAATATTTAGCAGCCATATAGATTATTATGCCATTCAAATAACAGCCTTAGTCTTAGACATAAAGGTTATTATCGCAAAACAATTTCGGTTTATTTGTTTAATAATTTGGTTTCCGTTTAGGTTTTAGATCTAACCTAACCCAACCCGACGTTCCAATAGAAATAAGTCAGTTCTTAGGACAATCCTCATCTTCTCCATTCTACCACAAAAAAAAATGAATAAGAAAAGCAATCAAACTGCTATTCGGACTGTTTATCGAATGGCTAATAAAACTAAGTGGCTGCGACATTTACATGTGTACAATTGTTCTATTTGTAAACTAACGATCTACCTTGTAACTATTTCGGCTTGTCCATTTATTATTAAATTTCAAGTACTTTGAAATTTCCTTACTCTTTATCCCCGTAACTGTGCGATTGCTGTCTATAATAATTATCGGTTCCGCGAGCTCCTTCTTTTCCCGGCGATTCTTACCACTTCGTTCTTTCACAAAGTACACAGCCGGTATGCTATACTTACCCGAGTCAGAGGAGCCGTTGTCCGGGAATACAATGTATATGATCGTTCGCTTATTGTCACCATCAAGATGCATGTTTGGCGGTGCGGCAGCCACTATAACGGTGTAATTGGCATATGGCTGTCTGACCACGGGCAGGTTAAACAAATCCACTTCATTCAACAATTTATGCGATGAATTTTTACTGTCAGTAGTATAAATAAGTCTTCTAGGAAACATCAGTTTTGCCAATAGATTCGAGTATCCAGTTGCCATGTCGTCCTGCTTATCAGGAGCCTCAGTAACCGTCTCTCGCCTTCCATACTCTTGCTGTTTAAACTCTTGTGGATTTTTTCCAAATATTGCAACGGGTTTTTTCACTCTGAGATCCTCTTTAGGATAATTTGGATTATACTTCACCGAAAATCCATTCTCAATTGGATAACTTTGAATGGCAAAATTTGTTGAAAATATTACCAGAAATGCGGCTACCTGCAAAGAAAAAGTTAGAGGTGTTTTTTACCCGTACACAGCACTGCACGAATAAGAACAAGTCGCCAGTAGGATCTACTTACACGCTCCATAAGAGGTAAATCGTGCAAACCATCACTCTCCGTAGACAAAGATAAACTGACGGTGTTCATTCAGTAAAAGATGCGAATGTGGTTATTGTTTTAAAAACGAGAGATACAGTCTCCGGATGTTTTGAATGGGTACAGACGCAGAATGGTAAACCATGGATCTTATTATCATTTACTATCATATTACGGTTTGTTTTAGGGCCGTGATTAAACAAGAGTCGCAATAACAAGAGTTGTAATCTGAGACGGTGCTGAAATTGCGTTAAATGTTAACCCACGATTTATGTCAGCAATTAACAACTTGCCTACATCATGACAGTTGTGATAGTCGGAGTTATCCCGCCGAGATATCCTACTCCTAACACAATTTCGCTCATTAAACTTAAACAAATTGTTTTAAGACTACACTTTACTAATAACGGGTGGTCAGGCTTAGAACAAACCACAAAATGAAATGACGAAAAATGAAATTCAACTACACGCACTTACATCTAATATTGATTGTTTGAAATTGTTTGAGTAAACAAAGCAAACTTTGTCGTGGGAGTTTTCGACTTAGCTATCATATCAATATTATTTCAGTTAGCATAATGGTTTTCGATTACAAACGGTGAGTTTTCAGACGGCAGGACAGGACGACTGCAGGTACGTTTTAATTATATATTCAAGCGAATTCCTGCCTCGTACCTAAATAAATTTTATATAGTTAGTAAAAATTTGTAATTGAAACAATTAAAATCGTCTATAAGTACGTCCTATTTACATTTTATATAGTTAGTAAAAATTTGTAATTGAAACAATTAAAATCGTCTATAAGTAAGTCCTATTTACATTTTAAGCGATTTATACGATCGTGCGGTTTGAATAACGACATTAACGTCTCCGTTCGTCTTATGAATTCTGAAACCAAATTAAGGATATCGGATTTCAATAAATCTTGACGTTTACGGTTCCGGGGTCTGACTGAGGTAATCTTGTATCGTCAATAATTTGTTTACAGGATAACTACAAACATGTTTCTAAATCGAGAACATTCCAACGAGTTTTTTTAACGTAAATACGAATAGTAGACAAATGGAATTGGACCTATATATTTTTGAATAGTGACTGTCGTCAGACATACGGGACTCTTACTTCTCATACTTCACGACGATGTTGCGCATGCGACTCGACCTATAAGAGTTCCGTTGTGACTCGAAAATAGTCGAGCTTTTCTCCGTTCATTCACGTATATAAATCGTTATTTTCAATAAACATTCGGAACGTTACTAACTATTAGTCTATGTTGTAATAGAACAGATCCTATAACCATTTTAAGTCCAAGTTAATTAATTTAACGCTAGCTTTATCCAGGGCTTAACTGGGTTCTCCATCGATCTTCTTTAACTACTGTTTAGTTTACAAGGAAAATGTACAATTGTAGTATTTACCTACTCCAATTAGGATTGGCCTTACAGAAAACTGGCGTGAATCAACGATAGCGTTGTGTGAGTGAGCTCCCAAAGGGCCATCCCTTCCCAATCCTTAAATATCCGAAACCCTTATCACTAAAAGGCCGGCAACGCACTCGTAAGTCCTTTGGTGGTGCAGGTGTCCATGGGCGGTGCTTACCATCAGGTAATCCGTTTAGCCAACCTATGAACTTATTTATTTCTTCATCCACGAAATTATGTTGTTGATAAATTTATAAAATAACTTCTGGGGTAACATTTATTATGTTCGTATATATAAAGTATGTGTTCCCATGTTCTTGTAACTAAACGTAAAGTTTTGTAACATTTTCTTCTAATAAATATAACGGATGTTTAACATGTTCCCCGGCAGCTTTGTTAGGATCTACTTTATAGAGGAGTTTGAACATAAAATGCTGGAGCTAACATCTTTGTTCCTGATATTTATGTTTATAATATGACAGCCACATAAACAACGGTTCTTTGTTTAATATAAATAAAAAAATCTTCACCGAAATGTATTTTTAAACAGAGAAATATTTTATATATTATTATTTTTTTGAATGATCCGTAGCCTGGGCCTGGCTTTACCTGAATGGCGACGTGTTTTGAGTCTACGTCATTATTTATTATCTGCCCTATTTATAGATTTCCATACTCGAAGGGCAAGAATGGGAGCCTTACCTCTAAGACTCCACGGTCTGGCGTCAAATATGTTTCAGACGATTATTTTTCTATTGCTGCTTATAACAGTAAAGACTCAAAATAAAATAAAATTTCTCATAGATTTTAATCTGGAATCGTTTCCACTATTCTCACTTCGTACAGACAGTTGTTCTTGACACCAAGCCATTTTGAATTACGAATTCCGAATTTGAATGCGTTCTTTATAACATTGTAAGAACTAACTGCCACAAATCCAAATGCCCTAGCTCTTTTTTGAAAATAAGTATTTAATTATAACAATATATGCGTAATTGTAAAACTGTTCTCATTTTCCAATTACAAAATAAATTGTTAAAGATTCTTGAATGAGAGAGCGCAACCAATCCCCTTTCCGCAGCCACCTTCGAATAATTTCCCAAGAGGAACCGACAGACTGGTGCTTGGCGTTCGGATGGAGCATCAACATCCCCACTCACCGCGACAGTAACACGAACAACTCAAAATAAGGTTTTCAATAAATAAAAAGGGAAAGGACCGTTTGAATAAATTTGTCGTGAAACCGCCTGAATGAATTGTAAAAGCAAGCAATATTTCAAAGTCAAAGGAGAATAATTTATTTAAAATAGACCGCTACAGGCACCTATAAACATCAAAAAAAAACTTTCAATTTTGTGTCAGTCTGTCGGTCTCTCCTCTAGTAAAGCATTTTAGAATGTTTACTTTATATTGTAAGTATAGCATTTCTTATTAAAGAACTCGTGGTTAAGTTATGGCTGTATGGGAAACAAGGTCCACAGAATAAAAACATTTCGAATACTTTTAATCTACTGTATTCATCGGAATGATTGTTTGTCTATGATGATTTTTAAAATGGTAAATTCTTGTGCAGAATTCCAAAGGTTGACATTCATTTTATTATTATACCACATATCTGTGTTTAAAGTGCGCTTAGTACTTAACTGTATTTTTGATCACCCATTAAAATAAGATAAGATACTTTATTTCGCAAATATGGATACAGTAAAAGGTATAAAAATATTATTCAGGTTCAGCCACATTTTACCATTAGGCCTACGAAAGGAACAAAACTAACTACAAACAGAAATATTACAGAGGCACACTAACCTAGACAATTTTCTTCATTCCAACACAAATAGGCACACTTATAACAAAGCAAAAACAAATGCATTTTCTTTTACTGCAAATATTGATGAATGTTGAAGAATAGTTTTCTATAAACAGCCACGTAGCACAGAATTGGGTAGGATCGTAGGACAAAAATAAATTAATTTGTTGTTTCAATACAATTAAATATTAAAAAATATCTATACTTTTATTCATCGATCAATCACACTAACTTTTTGATTTTTTTAGCTAATTATTAAGAAATAAATACGCTATTTGTCGCAAAAATGTTATGACATCATAACTCAGTTATTCATACAAATTGCATAGAAAAGTATAGTTTTTTGACATTTGGATAAACCTACTTAGTAGTACTTAGTTATACTTTAAACACGTACGTACATACATATACGCATTGCGCTATATACATTTGTTCTGTATATAGTATATCATAATAGCACGGTATATAACGTGTCACCTAAATGTTCTTAAAGCCCAAACCGAAGATAAATGACTATAATGTCAGAGCTCGTTGCTCTGGCCTTGCGGATAATATCCTAAAGCCCGCTCTCCTACCGACTGATTTGCGCATTTCAAATGTATAAATCTTATTTAGAAATGACAATATACCTATTTAATAATTTAAGTACCTAATAAGACTGTGATGACCCTGTGTGTTTTATAGTTGACTATATTACGCAAACATTTAAAGCTTTTAATAATTTATTTTTTGTTATTATTATTGACGTAATTAGAATGAGCGAAATAATTTTACAGATTAATAAAATTACAGGCATATTAAACATTCGTATTCTGTCTCTAAAGCTTAACATCATTGATTTTAAGTATGTAAATTAGCCTCTCAAATAAAACCTAACAATAGACGTTCATTAATTCCCACAGGTAGAGATAATAATCGATGGAAAAAGTCATTCAAATTGCCGCAATGTTCCTTTTTAGAGGTCAATTAAGGTCCAATCTAGTTCGTAATTCAGTTACTTCATTCGCTCACATCGATATTCGAGGACACGTTTCCTGTTTGTTATCATTCATTTACTTTTTAAACTCGTCACTAGTTAGAGAAGTTCAAGTTAAAGTTAAGAGTGCCTGCTAAAGGCACTCTCGTTTAGACAATGCTCAAAAATTACTTCCCATAAGCAAAAGTAGTTCGACGAACTGTTGACTGTAATCATCGCCTTCTTTTATCTCATCCCTCTGATTCAAAGAGTACAATGGCCAGTCCACGAAGTAATCACGAGCTTTAGAACCGCCTCAAAATTCACGTCATGCACACTAGGCATGGGAACAGCGAACTTAAATACCGAGGATTTCTGAAACCTGTCCGACGAGGAATTGGCTTTGAACATACAATGTAGAGTGAATCAAACGCAGTATCGCCTAAAGGCTGAAGTAAAATCTGCATGGAACGGCTGCGAGCGACCCGCGTCCTATCACTAACATTCACATCCTAATTGTTTTAACACGATGATGGATCGTCTAAATGTTAAAATAATTACCTATCTCTTCCGTCTTATACACACCTGTTGTACGTAATAAATACCAACAAAAAGTAAAAATAATTTTCGGAACTATCTGGCCATCCATAACAATACGTTAACTCCAAAAGTACTGTCATAAAAAACGACGTTTCGCTTTTATCACAATGCGTTTCTTTTTGAATAACAAAATGTTCACAGCTAAAGGCTTCAGTTTAACAGCGAGGGGAAACTTTGCGAATCCCTCAGCCAAAGATGACGGGACTCCGATACTCCGTCAGACAACAATAGCAGGGTATACAAATAGACTTTGGCGCCAGCATTA